GATCCTATATATTCACAATAGTCTGCATTGTGCCTATCAAGGATTTACTGCCGTCAACGCTTTCATCAATTTTTACACCAAGTTTGATACGCGCTGTAAATCCGATCAATGTATTTTATTAATCAAATTTAAAATATTGTACTACATATTATTATGCTAGTAAATGATTCAAATTATTATTTTACTAGTAAACATTATAAATTAGAAAACATCACAGGGTAACTATGAGAATAGATGAAACTAAGTTTAATTTGGGCGAGTGAATAGATTTTCCTAACCTACTCAGTCAACATGACAGCTAACCTGCGGACAGCTAATGGGCTGCATCCTGATGACATGGTCCCATGATACTATATTAATAGCTTATATGATAACCTGTACGTGACAGAAATGTTTTATAAAAAAGTTATATAAAATGGAAAATGCAATGAAGTCTGAAATAATTAATTAAAGAATGGGTGATGCCAGAGAGACAATGAGAAAAGACGAACATGACAAAGCGTAAAGAAAGGAAGAGAGGGAAGGAGAAAGTGAGAAAAATAAAAAGTAAAAGGGCTAATGATAGAGGAAGTTGACAAAAAAGAAATCGTGAGATAAAGTAAGAGAAAAATAGAGAATAAAAAAACGAGTAAGCAAAGAAAAAAAGTTTGTGTGTGTGTGGTGAGAGAGAGAGAGAGAGAGAGAGAGAGAGAGAGAGAGAGAAAAGGGAGGGAGTGAAAGCGACAACATGAGAAATTAGTAAATGTCTGATATTTGAGTGAGAGTGAAAAAGAGGGAGAAATATGAGAAAAAGAATAGAAATAATGAGAGAGAGATTGGGAGAGAGAGAGAGAGAGANAGTTAACATGATTAATTTATACCCAGGAAAAGATTTTAGTGAATTTGAAAAAAAAAAATGAGAAAAATATTGAACGAGAGAGGACACTTAATTACACAGTGAGCGGAAAAGCGTTCATGTGAGAGACCGAAAAAAAACAATCCGTGGTTTACGGAGGAGAAACAATGATAATGGAGAAAGGAAGATGGATAAAGAAAAAGTAATCATAAAAACAAAACAAAACTATAAATAAATTAAGAAAGACAGATGAAGAAGTAAATAAATTGAAAGAAACACACACACACACACACACACACAGAGAGAGAGAGAGAGAGAGAGAGAGAGAGAGAGAGAGAAAGAGAGAAACTTTGAGAGTGAGAAAAGAGAAATACAGAAAGAAAGAGAGCGAGAGAGATGAAGAGAAAGAGAGAATTACAAAAAGAAATATATTACATCTAGATAAGATAAAGATAGTTAATAAATGTTTTAAATTGTATAAGGAAGGTGAACAAGAAAGTTGAACAAATTTCGTTTCCTTTTGAACATATCAGTGTGAGAACCAATGGTTTAATAAAACATTATATTAATATGTTGGAGATAAAAATTTTTTGGCCATACATTGGCCCAATTGTTTCTGCATTTTCATTAGCGTTGCTTCAATGAGAGTCATTACAGCATGAAAATCAGTATACAAAGTTCAATTGAAGTTCAATCAGTCCGGACCGATTCAAATCCAAATAATAGGCAGCTCTTGTCTGCCTAATTATCTGCTTTGACCCGCTAATTGGTTTGTTAATCATTCATTGATCCTCGAGTACATGGCTCGAAGGGCTTTTTGTAATAAGGTCCCGTTAAATTAATCCTTGTACCGATTAGGATGATTTCTAAGAAGATCTACATGTTTAACGATCCGTAGTGCGATTTACGTCTCGAATTTTTCTTTCATTAGGCTAGATGATCTATCAAGTCTGAGAATAAATGATCCCCTTCGTTCTCGTGCATTTAGCTTTTTGCGTTGAAATTGATAAGACCCACTAAAATTTAAGCCGATTATTATTTCAAAAGGGAGGCCCTTTGCTACTGTGCATGCCGTGCGTAACAAAGAGCCCTTTCTGATGTTTTCCAAGTTAAAATTGAATCAGGGACGTCTTGTTCTCGGCAGCTACTCAGTCCCACGTTTGCCCTCACAGGGCAAATGATAATATTTTATTATCATTTGAGACATACAAGATGAAAAATTGTTATATTAAACCACATCCGGCTTGTAAAATTTATACAATATAGGATTATTTCGGACAAGTATTGTATTTTTATGGTGATCGATTCTTCATCACTAGGGGATATTTTTGTAAATCAAAGTAATACATAAATATATGATGAATATAATCTTGCCTTATTTCGAACACTATTCAAATTGGGCTTATTGAAAATCACAAATATTAATAAAAACAACTTTTTCTTCACTGAAAGCTAAGCTTTTGTAGGTTTGAGAATGATTTTTGACCAAAAATGACGAAACGCTTTGTACTGTATAATTTTTATTTCATACTGAAATGATTATTACCTTACAATATAATTTTCCTGTGAACAGGAAGTACAAAATTTAAATAATTTACATTTGTTTGCTGGAAAAGATTCTAACATTTCAATAGACGGTCTAATGTAGCAGGGAAGGAAACGCAAAGGGAAAATGAGAAAATCTCATTATTTGCTTCAATTCCGCATGACCGCTGCCGGCCTCGCTTTTGGCAGGGCTCCGAATCAATTCCGAGTAATTACAAAGCGAGGATAGCATCTTGATTAAAGCCAGGGCCTAGTGGTAAACGTTAAGCTAATAAACGTACCTGCATGGCCTGAAATGAAATAACGTATCACCCCTAATAAGGGAAAGAGATAAACTGCCCTTAGCTAAGGGTTCGGGCAATTAGCCGGGGTGGGACCTGGACAAATTAGCGGACACAATCTCACCCAAAGCGTTTGCCCCATATCTTGGCGCGTTTAGAAACCGCTTTTGTGAACCGGTGAACCTGTCTAAGAGAAGGTTCGGTCTGGTCCGAGGAGCCAAGGAACGAAACTGTTCAATCCCCTGATCTTTGCAGTCCAGTGCCAGAAAAATCACAAAAGTTCAAACTTCACAATATTTCATTGGAAAAACCACATAAAAAATTGTGAACTGTAACTGAATAGTGATCTTAAATTTGTTAATTATCAATCATTTAGGTCAGACAACAGACAATCCTTACATGGTTGGTTTGAAAGGCCAACTCAACGCGGATATGCAGATCTAATAAATATATTTATACGCAGGACGAGATTTTGTGTGTGTGTGTGTGTGTGTGTGTGTGTGTGTGTGTGTGTGTGAGAGAGAGAGAGAGAGAGAGAGAGAGAGAGAGAGAGAGAGAGAGACAGAGAGACAGAGAGGGTGAAAAAAGAAGAGAGATGGTGAAGGATAGAAAAAAGAGAGAAAAAGTGAAAAGGAGTTGTTAGATTTTAGGGTCTTTTTGATGAAAAAGTTAAAATACAATTTTAACAATTACAATAATAATTGTAATCTTTTTTTACTATTACTATTATTTTAATAAAAGGTAAAATTGAAAAATAAAAGGTGCTGTAAGGGAAACAGAATTTATTCAATCCAATTATTTCTTTTCTAAAATTATATTTACACTCTTCTTTCTTTTAAATTGACTCTTCAAACTTAAATTTTTACAAAAAAACAAAATCAATTCTTCTTGAAACAATATAAAAAAAAACTTAAAATATAATTAAGAAGTATTTAACCTATTGTTAAAAATAAATGAATTCACATTTACGTATGCGCAATCCCCAAGGAATAAAATTAAGGAAATATGGAATAGGAAAAAACTCACACGATGAATGCCGTTTTCCTGATGTTTTCTCATAAGTTGATTCCTCACAAGCCAAGTTGAAGCAGCTACCTTCCAGGTGGTTTGTTCGCATCTCCCAATGGAATGCCTCCTGGCCACCGCCTTTTAGCCTTTCTGCACTTTTGTCTCCCACGAGTTCCAAAATCCATCACCTCCTTCACGTTCATATCAATTTGTTTGTTACAGAGTGATTTATTTTGGTTATNAGAAGTAGATAGTGTGAGGTAATGATAGAAATGAGCAAAGGAAAGATATATATATACAAAGAGACGTAAGATAAGACAAAGCGGCGTCCACTATGTGTGTATATATATAAATATAGTGGACGCCGCTTATAAGACACACCACTTCGGATATAAGACTCATTTTTTCCACCGACACGTATCATTCGAATCTTTAAAGCATATTACAGGCTAAAAATGAGATAAAACCTTATCGCTCTTATTGACAAAACCTTAACTTCAATCTCAATAAAGATCGAAACGTTGGCATGATAAAAAAAATGTTTTTCTAAACCCACATCACATGAGACCTCATCTCACGATCTCTAAATAACTATTAAAGTAAATCTGCTTTGTACACGGTTTGATAAAAGAAGGTGGTAGAATTATTTTTTAATAGTCAAGTGTTTGGAATTTATTTTTATCTCACTAACATAAAAGATGTCTTTAAGCTAGGTGTCATTTTTATAGAGGCGAACGAAGGCCTATAAAAGAGGAGATTTTGCCGGTCGCCATTCCTCACCCCCTTATAAGCAACTTTCTCGGAAATAATTAATCGTTTTAATCCCTTTAGCCCGACAGCGGGCAACTCTTCCGTCCCCGTAACCGCGGCTCTGGGAATCTTCTCTAGTTTACGAACTGTGAAGGATTTCCTTGCAGAGTTTGCAGGAGGACCCTGTTTTTTAATTAACCGCCGGTTGAAATAACTTGCCGAAGTTCCCAGGGAAAGTGGGCGAGGGCCTTCTTTAGCTCGCCGAACCCTTGGGCGCCTCGGACGAGGAGAAGGGCCCTTATAAATGTAAATAAGCTTTTTTTTCCTCTTTCCAGGTCCAAGATCGGACCGACTTAAATTAACACTAATTTAATACTTTCTTCGGTCCTTTTCTTTCACACAAACGAAGAGAATCTCTTTCAGGACTTCTTTTGAATATTTTTTCCTCACTTATCACTTTACACTTTCTAATGCAAACTCAGTTTTAAAAGATTTCTTCTTTAACATTTACAAAATAAAAACAAGTAAATAACCTAATTGTAAAATAAAATCATATTTTCATAATAAAATATGTTTACAAGTTAAACGTATTTATTTTTTTAACAATTGTTAGTTATGTTTTTTAGTTATGTCATCTAGTGAGAAATGTTACTTTTATCGATGGAATATTTACTCGGTGAGAAGCTCGTCATGAAACAGCTGATTGTCACACCTTGAAGGCGGGCGATTCAGACGTATTTAAAACCGAAAGTTATGTTTTGCTCTTTCAACCCGAATAATGTACGGCCGTGCTGCTTTTAACAAACTTCTCCGAAGAAGAACCTGCCAAAAAGTTTACGTGAGGGCTTTCGAGGAGTTTGCCTGCGACACAACCACCAAACACGTGAGTAGCAATTTAACTTGGAAATCTGAAGGCGATACCTGAATTATTTAGTTCTTAACGAGTAAATCCAAAGTCTTTGGTGGTTAAAATTATCTTCAACATTGTAATCACACCGATGAGTACAAATTGTACTTTGTTGGTGATGGCTACACAAATAAGTTGCGAACAAAATTACAAGAAAAAAGTAATCTTTAACCACTCACAATCACACTGGTACCTGGTAAACCTTACTAATAGATTAATTTGTTTTACACTTCAAAATAAAACTAGATATTTAAATTAGATATATAGCAGATCCAATAATTGCTCTGTCTAGGGGTAGCGTTAAAGGGTGGCACTACACTGGATTTGTGATTTTATTGTTTTAAATGCAGCAATTAGCAATTTACACTTCAAAATTTCTATTTCTATTAGGATTGTAAAAGTGAAAACACCCTGTTTTGTTCTCGCAACAAATAACACCATTTATATTGCCTAAACAAAGGTTATCTTGGTCCAAAATTATTACAATATTTCACACATAAAAATTGTACGTTTCATGTTTAAAAAATAAACAAAAATTATGGCTGGATAGAACGTTTTTTAACTTTTTCATCTTTGCCGACATATTGAAATTATACGAATAATGTAATCCAATACGGAGTAGGCGATTTTTATTTCGACTGAATGGTAGATAATTTTGCAAAAAATCCTAAAGAACTAAAGGAAAGCAAACAAAAAGTTTGTGTTTTTATCCAAAAATTTGTTGAAGTCGTGAGGAGCGGTCAAGAATGAGATAATTTAGAAAAACAACTTTTTAATTTTTTTGCCGACGTTTCGACCTTTATTCGGGTCATCTTCAGGGCACAAACTGTGGTGCTATTCTTGTAGTATCATATTGGTGTGGAAGTGTGGTGACATATTATGAAACAACAGGTCAGAAACAGACATACATTTTTATCCAAAAAATAACGCGTTAAAAAAAAAATTGTCGTTAATCTCACGATCTCCAAAAAATAAAAAACTATGTTAAATATTTTGTTTTTTTAGAGGAGTCTGCAAACATGTATTGAGTTCTATGCTAGGCTACTCTGTAGGGAATTTATTTCTAAACACAACGTTATAATTATTTTAGTGAGGTTCTGGTTTTTTTCAAGAAAAAAATAATTTTGTGAGAAAAGTCGTGGTATTGCGAAATTCCAGATATGTTGAAGAAAGTAGACTCTTTCCCATTTTTGTACTGCCTTATGAGTTTTCTTATTCTGTGACGACATATCCTTCTTTTGCTATTCCTTTTCGACTGCGGGCGAAAATTCCTCCTATCGCACTCTCTAGGAATCCTATCATCAGCTCTCAATCCTAGTTTTGTTTTTCTCCCAAACAGCGGAAAGTCTCCGTTTCAGAGTTCTTTTATCAAGGGTCGTGTTTGTCGTTGCGTTTCCGAAGTTTTTTTGCGTGTTGTGTGAAATGCCGAAGAGTAAAACTGGTACCAAAACTAATACCTATGGCAAAGCCACGGAGCAGCCGGACGAGCTCAGCATCACCAAATGTTTCAAATGTATGAGCTTTTTCGTTTAGAATTTTTTCCCCATTTATGGCAATAAGTTTTACAATATTTAGGCATCACAACTTGAAGAGATAGTCCACTGCTAAGTCCAAATTCTCTGTACTTGGTTATTCATATTGTGATCTTTCCACAAGTGGTTCATCCATTTTAAGAAGTTTAGTAGTCCTCGAAGTGGTTAAACTAATTTAAGGTTCAGAGCTGCCCTGAGTATAGTTTACCATGTGTTGCTAATGGTAAGACAATTATGGAAGAAGTGTCTTATTGAAACCATTAAAAACCCAACAGGAGGAAGAGAAATATTCCACGAATTTTAATGGCGGGTGAATTTTAATGGGCTCTGTACAAATAAAACATTGATGACCGTTTTCCGAAATTTGTGTTTTTTGTTAATCCGGTACATTTATTCCTGTTCTATTTTCACCCACCCTGGGAGTCGTGGCCCATTTTATGTGGAACTACGGCGACAACGGGTGGTATAGTGTGGTTTGAGACTCGAGACCCCGAAACGGCTCACCTCGTGTTCTCATCCACGGCCCTTTTTTCTCTATCCGAGCTCCTTCATTCTATTCCGTGACACCCCTCCTAACAAGGGGTTGCAAGGGGGGTATCCGGGCACAAAATAAAGGTGCAGCCCAGAGGGCGTGGCAACCTCTCTAAAGTACAAGCTGTACTCGTGTCGGCCTAGAGGTCGGCATGGGCGGCGGGTGTCTTAGCAGAGTCACTCGAGGGCCAGTGCACTAGATCCTGTCTGCATAGACGGGGGAGGGTGTATGGCCATCTGTTCCACGGGGTAACTAAACCTTCCAAATTCAGCCCTAGTTACACTGGGAATGGATTCGTGGTGGTGCGTGGTGACGCCCCTGGCTGGAACTTAGACAGAGGCTGTCTTCTATCTGTGACCTCAGTGAAGCTTGCGTATGGCCAACGTAAAACCCCCCCGGCCTCACGGGAGACGTTGTGACCGGATGACAGCATATAAGCGTTGAGGACGCAATGATCATGCTATAGTCCCTCGAATGCGTAAGTAAGCGAATGGAAGCGGGTAGCGAATGGGTGTCTCGGACTCGATTATGCTTTGTATTGTTGTGCGTATGACCGTCGTCGTACCCTTGAAGAAGCGAAGGATCGGACCACCTAGGCTGTGCCTATGGCGTCCCTCGAATGCGCGTGACAAGTGTAGGCTGAGCTCGATTAGAGACTTTACCGTAGGCGGTTCTTATCTAGGGGGTGGTTAGGAATTCCACTTTAAACTAAACCGCTGCCGGGGCGTTCCCGGAAGTTTCTATGCTGGGGGAGCCTCTATACTCAGAGAGATAGAGTGGCCTTCTCTATCTAGGGAGTACGCGGGGAGGGACAGTATTTCGGCCTGTTAGCCGATGCTCAATGCGGGCCCGACCATTCGGAGTGGACAAGCGGAGAGCGAGGTTGTCTCGGCCTTTAGGGGCTGGGACACCTCTACACCAATGCTGCGGCTGTAACACCATTCCGTCGTATGCAGAAGTGCGTCAGCTCTCATCTTGAGAATCAAAACGTCCGATAAGGCCAAAGGCCAGGTGCGGACGCTAAAAATCCTCTTCTCTTGTTGACGATGAGTACTCGGGAACAATTCCTGATCTATTAGGCTATTAGAATTTGATGTTTTGTGGGGATTATTATTGTAAACGATTATATGGCTAATTTTTTTAAATTGTTCTGAAAAAAATGTTTGTTGTAAGTTGTAAGGGTAAACAATATTCAGTTTTTATGTAAGGTATTGGTTGAGATAAAAAAGTCAGCGTCACGAGCGGGATTCGAACCCACGACCTTCGGCTAAATACGCCGCTGCTCTACCACTTGAGCTATCGTGACTCCAAACCACTCGGACAACAAATCCCCACCTCAACCCACCTTTTGAGTTTTCCCTCCGTGTTGCCATTTTTCAAATTATTTAGTTTCATGTAGTGAACATAATCCATTTGGAATATTGATGATATGAAAAAACTCAAGATATATGGTAGAAGAAATATTGTATTTTTATAGGGTAAACCGACTGACGCTGCTCCTATTGATTAACTTTATAAGTTTGGCGATTGTTTTTTGATCAGGCATAAAAGTCCAAAACAGTATGACTTTTGGACTACATCTCTGATCAAAAAGCAATCGCGTTATAAAATTGATCGAGCATCACTGTTGAAATACATTATTATTGTTGTTTATCCTATCACAACCTCACCTCTGGTGCAAAGTTTTTGTTTCTTCCAGGATATTTACGACAGAAAAACATTAGAAAGTTAATGTTAAAGTTTAATGAAACGTTTGAAACTATAAAGTGTATATTTTTTCAGAAAGGCTTAGTTCTAGGGGCCTACGATGGATGTCATGTAGGTGAATACAGGTTGACTCATACAGCAGAGAAGTTTGATATTGAAGTTGGAGGGCGATTGTCTGATTTATTGAAAACGTTGAGTCTGAGTCTAAATTTTTGGTACCGTAGTTTTCGTTCATATGCATAAAAAAATGTTCTACAGATCCGGCATTAAATTGGGAGAATGCGTCGTTTACAACAACCTCAGTCCGGAGTTTTACGCGATAGCTGTCGCCGGTCTCGGTCTCGAAGGTCTCGGCTACAACGAGATTGAATGTATAGAAGAGTGCAAGGAAAATATAAGAATCGCTGCGGGGACGGCGTGCAGCACACTCCAGGATAACCATGTAAATTTTCAAAAAAAAGTAATTCCAAATTTGAAATACATCCATCTTTTCCAGAACATCACCACGATCATGGTCGAAGAGTTCACGAATCCGGAAGCAGCAGCAGAAGGTTCCAGTTTGTCCATCTGGAGGTACCAAGAGCAGAAGGCGATTGCAAAGAGAAAGCTGGAACCCAACCTGGAAATGTACGACGCCCCTGATCGCGAATCCTGGGGGCGGGGAATCATCAAGGGAGAATCACAGAACTATGCCCGATACCTCGAAGAAAGCCCCGCAAACATCATGACTCCTTCTGATTTTGCCAGAGTAACATAATTATTACGATAAACTAATTTCTTTATGGAGTGATAACACTCTTTAGTTCCTATAGTTCCTTTCTTTGCTTTATTCATCCCTGTACACTATTCCTTGTTACCACAGCAAGAGGATAGCAGTAATATCAATTATGATCAATGAAAAATGAGACAAAATCATGTGTTACGAGTATGAATTGAATCCGTGGTTTTCGGGTTGAGCAATCACAGAGCACCAGAGGCAAAGAAATGCCGTGTATTCTTCCGCTTGTGACACATCTTTTCGATTCATATTTCATTCTTCATATTTCATCACTTACCATACAGTTCTTCATTATAGTCTGCAATCAATACGCTTTGCCCTTGTGGAGTGGCCGTCGAGGTAAGAGATCGACCGTGGCTAGAAGAAAAAAATTTGTGTACTTTCCTCAACATGGCCAAAGGTTCTTCGCAGCCGCCCTTGTTGCTTGAGTTGAGCTACTGCGGAGGTGCTGAAGACGACAAGCCCGTCATGCTAATAGGTGATTTATTATCATAATCCTTTGAGATTTAAGTCAAAATAGAATCTCTCCTTTATAGGCAAAGGCATAACGTTCAGTAGTGGAGGACTTTGTCTCAAAGATTGCAACCACATGGATCAGTACAGAGCAGACATGGCAGGCGGAGCAGTGATAGTGGGCGTGTTGAAAGCCCTGGCTCTTCTTGGCACGCCGCTCAACGTGACAGGTAACTTTGAATCTTCGACTTCTCGTCTTCTTTCAACTTGTTACATATTCAGGCTTGGTCCCTCTTTGTGAAAATATGCCTGGCGGCATGGCCGCCAAGCCAGGAGATACGATAGTCGGCCGGTTGGGGAAAACAATCAAGATCGAAAACACAGATAAGGAAGGACAGGTCGTTTTGTCGGATGTACTACACTTCTCGGGGACTCACAAGCCGTGCCTCGTCATCACCATTGGGACACTTTCTGGTTAGTAGAATCGAATCTTGTTCACCGTTATTGACGTAAAAATAAAAAATATGTATATTATGTCATTACGTTTGAAGAAAAACATGTGTAGATGTAATTTCTCATGTGTTTAACAAAAACGTTTGGTCTCGCAGATTTCATAACTGCCTCTCAACAGCATAAGAGTGCGTAGTTATTATCTTCCCCCTGGACTTTGGGAATTGCGGTTCGGGGGCTTTTACTGACTGACATAAGACAAACTTTTGATCGAATTTGTGGCCCGAGCTAAACGTGTTAGTTCAAAGGCACCCTACCATCTCATACTTTATATTGACCAGTTTTTCCCAGTCACTAAAAGCAATACCTTATTTAAGCATTGTCCTATTCGTGCTGGTGTTCCTCAAGGCAGCTTACTGGCCCCTATACTGTATCACTTATACAGGGCTGACATACCATTTTACGCACAAACATCAAACCCGACAAACACCCACTATAATTAAATCTGCGGAATCAAAATCTCTCATACAATTCTTGATGACCACGTTATGCTTCAAATGAAACTACTAGTTATTTTCTATTATTAGACTTTACAATAAAATAAAAAATCGAAACAGCTAAAAAAAAAAATGATATTTATGCAATTAAATGAAAACAAGTACTGCCAAATGTAGTAAATGTAGGTGTTTGTATTTGTGTGTGTGTGTGTGGTGTGTGTGTGTGTGTGTGTGTGTGTTTGTGTGTGTGTGTGTGTTTGTGTGTGTGTGTGTGTGGAGGAGAGAGAGAGAGAGAGAGAGAGAGAGAGAGAGAGGAGAGAGAGAGAGAGAGATTAAAATTCAAGTGAATCTTTCGTTAATTTGTAATGTATGTGAGACAAAGGACTAGACTATGTTTTCTGAAATAAGGCATACAAAATAAAATTAGCACGTGCAAGCAGAATGGTACGGTTTGTGAGCAAACAGACAAAAAAAGGTGTGTCATAGACAAACGTGAATATTTGAGTGCCAAGTTACAATTTATTGTTCTAATTAAATAATTGGACGTAGGTGCTACCAGACACGCCCTAGGATCAAGCGCTTCCGCAGTCTTTTCGACGTCAGATGTCGTCTGGCGCGAAATGGCGAGGGCTGGAGCCGAAAGTGGTGACAGGGTGTGGAGGCTGCCCCTCTGGAAACACTACTACCGAAAGATAACACGTGAGTTGACAAAGTAATTTATAAGTGCGTTACTTTTTTATATTTTCATCGTCAAATGTTAAAAACGTAAAAGATAAATAACGAAAGTAATATGTATAAGGTATACTCAGCAAATACTTTTATTGAAAGACTTTCATGATGTCTAGTGTCTACGGAAGAAATTTTTTTTTTTAATGGACACTGTTTTTTCATATTTATTGATTTATATTATTACTCTATATGAAAATTCCATATTTAATTTTGAAGACATGTCATTACATTGCAATAGGAGCTCTTTTCGTAACTTCGCATTTATTTTTCGCTACAGCACCTGCTACAATACTTTATTGTGAATCATTAGCATTTTAGAAACTAAATTCAGATTAAATTATACAGAAAAGGACAATGATCACAGTAAATTTATTTATTTGATAAATAATTTAATCACAGACAAACTTGATTTTCCGGACTTTTTCTCCATAATCGAAAGAATATCATTCTTTGGCTTCAGTGTTCTTGAGCGAGTATTTGTGCGCTTTTTCCGATTTTTGGAAGGAAACGGGCTGTTTTATTTTGTTTAGCCCTTGATAGGTAATTCTATTTATGCTTACATTTTCGTCTATTGAGAGTAAATGTACTTATAAGTGGAATTTATAGTGGCCGACAACATTGATTACTTCATCAACATTCAATTTGATATTTATGTACTATGTGAAAAGGACGGAGGAATATCGTTGCCACCGTACTGGAACGAATATAATCTACATTAACCTAATAAAGAAAAAAATGTATAGCCTCGTACGCACTGAGATTCTTTGAATCGATTCATGTTGCGAGGCAGCGTCGGGGCTGCGTAGATTCATTGTTGCGATGCAGCCACGACTCTGCTCCGCGACAAAGAACCGTGTGCAGACCAAGATTCAGTTCACATTCATGAGTGCCTACGAAAATGACAGAGGAACTAGCTTTCAGGAATTTCTCTTGCTCATTTTTGCATTGTACGTAGTGCATACAATAGGAAGTAAATTAAAAAACTGTCCTTTTAAAGTGTGCATTTTTTTTTTCAATTTCGGCGACGGAAACACTGAACTTTTGTGTTAAACCGTTCAATGTTTGGCTTTTCAATTTCCGATTTGTGTATTCCGTGAATGATACATCCTACAAACACCGATGGGAATGCTAACAATAATCTGTAAAGTCAAACTCAGTACTCCACAACATACCTTTATACAAGACAGTATCAAAATCTTCAAGAAAACACTCACTAGAACATCAACTAAACAAAAGAAGCAAGAGCGCTTGTTCCGATTCACTTCCTCACTGGCAAATGTTGCGCAACATTGAGTCAAAGATCACATTTCCCACATCGGATGGGGTTCAAAATTCCGAAAATGCTAGCCCGCAACACACTAGATTCATCGCAACAATGAGTCGGGGCAGCCCGGACTCAGGCTAGACGCAGCCGAGACTCTCCGGAGGTTCAAAGAGTCGAATCAAAGAATCCCAGTGCGTACTAGGCCTATGGATGTAAGAGGTTATTTCAAAATAAAAATTTTGATAAATTTTGCATTCCTGATGATTATAGGAAAGACTTAGCGGGCACAAATCGCTGGTGAAGTGTTTGTGTCGGGTTTGTGTGATGTTTATGTTAATATATTAGGATGAATGTAATTTATTAGCGAGAAAAGAAGGGGTTATTTACGCCGCCCCGAGGAGTATCGAGTACTCTGGGGGAGTAAATGTGACCAGACTTTTATGTTAGTATTGTATGTTGTTTATATTTTACTCTATTGGAATGAATGGAATAAATGTCTCTCTTTTTCCGACAGCCTGGCAAAAAGCTCTTGTCACCCTGTGAATAAAACCCCCAACCCATCCTCCCCTACAGACTACCGTCCCATTTCCATCCTCTCAAACCTGTCCAAGCCCCTAGAAAGATTAGTCCAAGCACAAGTCTCCAGGCACCTTGAACAGTCTTCTCAACCTCCTTCCAATCTGGCTTCCCCCAAGGTTATGACCTCCACTTAGCAATGGACCAACGGAAAGTTACTATACTTGTCCTTCTTGATTTTTCTAAAGCCTTCGATTCTGTCCCTCACTCTTCTCTCCTCTCTAAACTCGAATCTTTTTCCTTCTCCGCCAGCACCATCCGTTGGTTCCATTCCAACCTTACCAATCGCCATTTATATCAATGACCTGCCCGACTCCATCCAGTCCTGTAACTATCACCTATATGCCGATGACTCCCAAATATACATATCCTTCCACCCTTCCGATCTTCACTCGGCCACTTTCAAGATCCATAAAAATTCCCTAGTCCTCAATCCGTCCAAATCCACCACCATAATTATCGGGTCCAGGCAACTCCTCAATTCCCACCCCAGCATCCGACCTCTCATGCTAAATAACCATCCCATCCCCTTCTGCTCTTCGGTTAAAAACCTAAGAGTATTCTTTGACCAAAACCTTTCCTGGCATTCTCACATTTCCCAAATTTCCCGCCATTGCATTGCCTCCCTCAGCCAGTTTCGTCGGTCCTGGCTTTTCTTACCTTTCTCCACCCGCAAACTCCTTGTATCTTCCCTTATACTTCCCTTCTTCGATTATAGCTGTTTGGCATACGGTGGTCTCTCGGAGGGGGGAAACGCGCGATTGAAGCGCATTATGAATTGTTGCGTAAGATTTGTGTACGGTTACCCCACGGGGATCCCGGGTGTCGGGGTTGTATTCCCAACTTTCCTGGCTAATCCGCTCCTTCCGTGTACAGTATTTCTTAGGGTGATTTCTTTTCCAGTCCATTCACACTCGTCGTCTTCCTTACATCATCCAATCCTTCCAATTTACCTCCTCACATCTCACTCGTAAAACCCGCTCATCCCCAATCGACCTTATCTTTCCGCAACATACGACCCATACCTTCGAAAGATCCTTTCTGATCCGAGCCCCTAAACTCTGGAACTCCCTTCCCCTTTCTATTCGTCACGCTGCCTCCTTTTCCTCCTTTAAATCCCACATGTATAATCACCTCCTCTCCCTCCAAGCAGAGACCTCACGTTAACATTTGTTATTTTTGTTTAATATTCTCGTAATTTTTTTCTTCTGTCCTGCCTTATTGGTATACATTGTGCCAAGATTTCTATCTTTTTTTTCTTAGGGCCACACACACCAGCCTCAGAATAAAGTTATTTTTCTTCTTCTTCTTAATGTAATTTATTAGCGATAAAGGAAGGGGTTGTTTACCCCGCCACGAAGAATATCGAGTACTCTCCCCCAGAGTGTCAGAATGTGACCAGACTTCTATGTTTGTCGCGATGTATATGTTATGTATTGAATGTTGTGTATCTATTCTTAAATTGTCAACCTGCGGTACTAACAAGAGGCTAGTATTTTAAAATAACGACGTAACATACAAGTAAAAGCAGATAGTCACTAACCAGATCGAGATGGTCAAATGGCTCAGTTCAATACAAAATACGCGAGAAAGACAGGAAAGAAAAGGAATACACCCGGAAGGCCGGCGATAACCTCAGGTGTTCGTCGGCCCATAAACCTCCCACTTGATATATATAGGAATGACTTAGAAATCGATTTGTCCTGTTAATATTGCAGTATCAAATAAGATGCGAAAGTTTGTTGCTGCACATACCGTAAAGCAAAGCAGTTCAGTGTAACTGCTAATCGCCACCTACGTGATGCTCGATGAGAATTATGGTGATGTATGCGGAGAAGAAAACGTCTATACAGTATCACGTCGGGTCGGCTCAGCCGAGCGAACTGGCACGATATACAATCGTTCCCAGATGAATGAAAAACTTCGCCTTTACCATTTTAAGCGACAAACTGCTTCTTTTAACATCAGTCTAAAACGAAAGATATTAGATATGCCCACCGTCCTGAATCGTTTAACAGGAAACAGAAAAGATAAATGGTGAAATGAGTGTGTTGTTTAATCTTTTAAAACGATAGTTCCTACGCACAGTAAGTTATTTTCAACTACTCGGATTTCGAGCCTACAGCTCATCATCAGGTTGTGGAGCTCCTTCAATCTAATGATGGGCAGTAGGCGCGAAGTCCGGATCGTAGAATACAACGTACTGCGAGTAGCAACTATTTTTTTAAGAAGATTTATATACAACCAGCAGATTGGATTTCAATTTATGATTGCGGCATTACAGTTGTTATAGAGAAAATAGAGAAACCTACCCATTGGCAGCCACTCTGGATTAATAGAATTACATTACTCATTTAAGAGGTCTCTTATCCATATTGTTTTCAATGGCTTATTGCTGTTAATTGTGGGGAATGGAGTAATCTTATTTGTGTGTTAGATTTTGTCTATTTTCTATGAAAACGTCTTTAATATGTTTTGATGAATGAAAAAACTGTTGGCATGTAAAGATCTCTGTGAAGAGTGCTATTGTTGAAGTAAAATCGGGTAGAAACAATTAGTCTTAAAACTTTGGATTTGAAACTTTGTAATTTTTGAGTACTGGAATGTTTGGTTGATCCATAACATTGGCACCTGTACATCGAAGTAATTGTCTGTCGAAAATTTTGATTTTATTGTTAATTTTCATAGTTATTCAGATATCGTGAGATGCGGTCGGGTGTGATGTAGGTTTCAGAAAAACATTTTCTTTATCGTGCCAACGTTTCGATCTTTTATTGAGATCATCTTCAGGGCTCAAAGTGTTTGTGTTCTGTGTAGTTGTACCATCCTTGCGTGTCGTATTGAGGTGCCACACGACACGCAAGGATGGCACAATTACACAGAAGACAAACACTTTGAGCCCTGAAGATGATCTCAATAAAAGATCGAAACGTTGGCAGGATAAAGAAAATGTTTTTCTGAAACCTACATCACACCCGACCGCATCTCACGATACCTGAATAACTCGAGTAACGGTCACTAATCTCTACACACGTTAATTTTGATTGTCCGTTGAGTAGATAATAAAGAATTTTAAATCTTTTTTTAAGTGCCTGTTTTTTTAATGGTGTATGAGGATTCCAAGTTAGTCTTTTATCAAATATAAGTCCTAAATAGTTAACTTTTTCAGTTGAGGAATAGGTAAGTATATGCTTATAATGACAAGTCTCACGGCGGAGTGTAAAGATAAATGTCGTGACTATGAGAGATTAAAATTTATTTTCCAAAGATTGCTCAATTTTGCAATTGTTGTAGTTTGGTTTAAATAATGTAGTTTTGTAAAATAGGTAATATTGTATAAGCATATGCTTGGACAAGTCTCACGGGTAATAGTTGTTTCCAAAGTCTGCTCCATTTTTCAATTATTGATATGTGGTTTTGTAACATAAGTGAAGCTTGGGTAGAAGGTGGATGATTTGTTAATATTATGGTGTCAGATGCGGATGTGGTGATAAGTGCATTCTCATTTGTGGGCATGTTAGTAGTAAATTTGTGTACAACAGCGGAGGACAGTTGAAAAACGGAGCAATGTTTGTAAATAAATATTAACCTCTCAAAGTCACAACATATCCATTTTTACACTCCACCGTGAGACTTGTCATTGGATATACTTATACAATGAGCCTGTCTTTCAGTCCGACAAAGTTAATTGTTTAGGACTTACATTTGACCTTTGTGGCACACAAAAAAATTTGTATTATGTCAACCATCAGACTTCAGCATGAATAACAACTGTAAATTGCAAATGCAGCTATGCAATAAATTATTTCTTCTTCTTTTGATTACCATCCAATGGAATGTATTTTGTGAGTCAAACATTTTCATTGTTTGTAATTCATGCTTGTTGACTTTCTCCTTAGTTTTGTTTAAGAGGTTGCTGTCGACGATAGGGGTATTTATACATAATGTGTTTTGTCGCAATTCAGAGAAATGTTTCTCTTCATTGTTTCCTAAGAATAATTCTGCGAGTGAGTCAAAGTTGGGTTGCTCTTGCCAACACCGTCTTTTAGTGTATACATTTGTTCATTAAAGTTAAAGTAGTTTTGCTGTACTGTTGTTTGTATTATGTATGAAAGTTGTGCTTATTCGTGAATACAGCTTTTTCTTCTTCGTCTTTTTATTTTAATTGATAAAACTCCGGATTTTCATGTGGAACGAGATTATTTTTCTTATTTGTTATAATAAAGAAATTGTGGAGAAAGTGGAGGTTTTTCGGAGTGGAAAGCCTGATTTATTGATTTACAGCATGTTGGTTTTATATTATTCATTGATGCAAATACATCCAGCTATGTTATCATGAGTATACTTTTATGAGAATATTTAGTATATACAGCGTGCCTTTTTTAGATGGCCCGGATGAATTTCTGTTGAACCAATGACACTATCAAAAAAATACGTGTTTAATATTTTTTAGTTTAGTTTCAAATTTTTACCTTATTTTAAGAAAAATTACACAGTGAACCTCAGACCAGTTCAACTTCAAAAATCAAACACGGCCCCATACATCCTGATACATAATTTTAAATGACTTTTTACCCTGAAAACAATGGTGCAATCGGATTTTAAAATGGTGAAAAAATGATAATGTTATGCCAAAAAGTTTGAAAAAAAAACTAGTCATTTGGTTTGCTATTTATTAATCATATTTCATGTTCTAACTGACTTGCGTAAACATGCAAAGATTTGCTGTTTATAACCCTCTTCACCAGTGCTCAGAGCGATAGAGAAAAGGGAGATGGATCGACAACCGTTTTCTCTCCTTTGCTGCAATTCTCCAAGTGATATGATTGGCGTAGGCACTGTTTGTTAAATGGCCCCACAGAAAATAGTCAAGTGGAGTTAAATGAGGTGCCCAAGAAGGCTAACAGATCGGACCATGAGTTTCTATCCATTTTTTCCGGAAGTGACGATTCAAATAACGTCTCACCTGCAAAGAATTGTGTGTGGTGCGTCCATCAAGCTGGAGAATCATTCTTTGTCGTTGTTGCAGAAGGACATTATCTAAAGTCTTGGTAAAACCTCCATCAAAAAATTTAGGAACTAAACACCACTTAGACTATTTTCCTAGAAATAAGGCCCAATTTATTTATTTCCGAAAAGTTTACACGAAACGTTGCTACTGTGAACAAATTGATGAAGACAAGAGTACGAAATTCTCGGATTTTCCTCTGCCCACATTCCAAAATTCCATCGGTTTTCTGCAAGTGGTTTTTATTATAATTTTCACCACTGTTCTTATTTCTCTAGGCCAATTCGACAAATATTGTAAATGTACATACGCCCTTTGCCACAAGGATGTATAATGTCCTAGACAGTTTCCCTTGTAGTCACTTTGTACAAAATGTATGTAAAAGTATCTTATAAATAAACTCTAACTCAAACCCATCGGTTTAGTATGCCATTAGAACTTAGATTCATCAGTCCGTAAGATGTATGAAAGAAGGTTTTCTTCAGCCTTGCAAATCGACACTTGTGCAAAGAACGTTAGACGCCTGATCATTGTCCCAAAGTCCCTGACAGAAATGAGAGCGATCCGGCTTAAAATTGTAATTGCTGATTTTCTCTTGAAAAAATGATGCTATAAAAAAATATTTTTTAGTCCAGTCTCAAATGTTTCCTTTTTTGTAGAAAAATTATAAAAGATACCTAGTCAAGTTCAACTTCAAAATTTCATGTACGACTCTATACAGCCAGGCATAAATTTTAAACTACTTCTACGCTGAAAATAATGATGCAATCAGATTTTCAATTGGTCAAAAAATGAAAACGTTATGGCAAAATCAAATCATGAAAGTTATTTGGTTTACTATTTATTAATCACATTTCTTGCGTAAAGATGCAAAGATTTTCCCTTTTTAACTACTCTTCTCCGGTCTTCAGATCGATAGAGTCAGGGGAGATGGATTGAGAAACATTTTCTATCCTTTGCCGCAGTTCTTCACCTGAGGTTGCAGGGTTATGATTGGCGTAGGCACTGTTTTTTAAATTGCCCCACAGAAAATAGAGAAGTGGATTTGAATCGGGTAACCGAGAAGGCCCACAGATGAGGGTCATGAGGTCCTATCCTCCTATCTTGGAAGTGACGATAGAAATAACGTTTCACCTGCAAAGAATTGTGTGCGGGGCATCCATCAAGCTGGAGATTTGTCGGCTTTGCTGAGGATCTAATAGTGTTGGTAAAACTTCCCTCAAAAAATTGAGAAACAGAGCACCATTTATATTATTTTCGTAGAAATAAGGCCCAATTAATTTATTTCCGTGAAGTCCACACCAAACGTCGATACTGTGTACCACCTGATGATGAGAAGAGTACAAAATTCTCGGATTTTCTTCTGCCCACGTTACAAAATTCCAACGGTTTAGAATGCCATTAGAGGTGAACTTGGACTTTTTAGTCCACCCCCTTGGACGGGAGAAGGTTTTCCACATCTTTCTAAATCGACATTTGGGAAAGGAACGTTGGACTTGTCATAATCAGAGTCCCGAAATACCTGGACAATATGAGAAAGATACTGCTTAAAATTGTAAGTCCGGAGTAGATCTCTAAAGTTATTATTCGAAAGTCCTAAAACTCTTCAAACATTTCCGAGAGAGGAATTCGTATTTTCGCGAACATACTGTAAAATATTCAGCTTCTTGTTGCCGGTTTGTTTTTTCCATAATTCAATAATTTTTTGACCAATTTGAAATCTGATTGCACCATTGTTTTCAGTGTACAAAATCATTTAATATGCCTTGTCAGGATGTAGGGTCATATTTAAAATTTTGAAGTTGAACTGGGCTTGAGATACTGTATAATTTTTCTTCATAAAAGGTAAAAATTTGAAACTAGGTTAAACAATATTAAAGGCGTATTTTTTATAGCGTCATTGATTCAAGAGAAATTCAGCCGGGCCATATGAAAGAAACCTTGTATAATTTTAAGCCATTTCACTAATCGAGTTTTTATAATTGTTTAGGCTCTCCGGACGTTGACTTGAGCAACGTTGGCCACGGAATCGGAGGGGATCCTTGCGTGGCCGCTTCTTTCCTCCTCGTAAGGTTTCTTCAAAGACTAATTTCAATACTCCAATTATTTTCCGGCTTATTTTAGGAGTGCGCGCCACCCGTTGATTTCCTCCACATAGACAACACCGGCACAGGGATGGAAGCTGGAAGCATATCGCCGCCTTACCTAAGGCAGGGATTCATGACCGGCCGACCCACACGTACAATCATACAGTTCCTGCAGCAAATAGCGTGCCCGAACGACAGACCGTCTCCTTGCTGAACACGCCTGTTGTGCGGTTCGGTCGAGAAATATAAATAAATACATACGTATTTCAACTACTATTTATTATTTAAATAAAAGTGGAAGTACTCTGACGCTCTTGTTAGGTTGGTCTACATATTACCATAGCAATGGTAACATTAAATAATAAGGGTATTCACGATGTTTGTAAGATGTTAACTCGTGTTAACTCGAATAGAGAAATATCCAGTAAGGTTGTGGATGCCCCCTTCTTTTCATAGCTTGTTAAACGTTAAGTTTTCCGCAATGCTGCGCGTGGCGATTGGTAGAACCAAAAATAAAGCCATAACAGTTCTTGAAGGCTTGCTGTTTGTTTTGGTTTTCTTTTAGGTTAAATTGTAAGATGCAGAACTTAATAAAAAAGGAAAATTAATCAACTCTTTCATCCAAATTATAACAACATACCTAACCTGTATCCTAACGTCTAACAGCCTACAACTTTATAGGATAGGGGATGTATCTATTATGAATGAGAAGGTCGGAAATTAACAAAAGAATTGGAATGATTTAATTGAAGTGTATTTAAGAATCAATATACGTGTAAACAAAAAACAGCTGTTAAATTCGTGGCTGCCATGTTGGTTACCTACGCCCTAACGGATAGCAATGTGACTACATTTTCCGCCTAACATCTCACATTGGCACTGGCCTGTTAGATCGATCATTGTTAACAGCCGATTATTACAAGCTTACGTCATAATTTTTTTCGATCTAACAGGACCTAACAGAGTTACCAGGGTTAACACAAAGCTCGTGAATACCCCTTATATGTTGTTTCTAAATGGTTTTGTATTAGCTTTTTATATATTTTTGTTATTTTTTGGTCTGAATATTTTCGTAAACAGGGTGGCCCCAATCGATTCAGCCACACTTCCAGATCTTATAGGAAACGGAACGCTGGTAAAAGAGGTCCTATGAACCTTCAGTTCCGAGCTACAGGCAAAAAAACCATGAAAAACCACGTTTTTTGACCTTATTCGAGAAATTGTTAGTAAACCGTTAGCCTGACCGTAAGACAACTTGAAACAACATCTGTAGAAAATTAATTTCTGCGTCGAATGAGATTAAAACTAGCCTGATCGACCAAACATTTCATTTTTGGCGATTTTTCGAAATTAAGAGGTGAAGGGGTACACAAAATTCATCATTTCTGATATTTTTATCGAACTTCAACACCCTATCAAATAATTCGGTGCCGACTATGTATCACTGCTTGAACCACGATTAAAAATTAATTTTATGATAAAGCAGCTATTGTAATGGTTTTTTACCATAAATAAAATGTAATGTTCATTAAAACATGCGTACACTTTCTAAAATTGTTAAGTAAGCCGTTCAGATTTTTCGTACATTATTTCATTCAGTAGGGGGTACCCATCAGAAAACAGTAACATTCGATTTGGGTGAAAAGCAGTAAATTAGCAAAAATTCGAATGATTTCAGAATCGGACTGGGGTTGGACTAATATGACGGAGAATTCGATCACCAACAAACGAGGTTTGTAATGGAGAATTTTTTGATAGGGTGTTCAAGTTGTGAATTTTCGATAAAAATGTCAGAAATGGTGAATTTTGTGTACCCCTTCATCTCCTAACTTCGAAAAATCGCCAAAAATGAAGTTTACTAACAATTTCACGAATAAGTTCACTAATTTCGTGGTCCGCTTTACCAATTAATATATTACAATTAATTAAGGTTTTTAGTTGAGATAAAAAAGTCAATGGCACGAGCGGGATTCGAACCCACGATCTTCGGCTTGATACGCCGCTGCTCTACCACTTGAGCTCTCTTGACCTCGATCCACTCGGACACCAACTTCCCATCTCAACCGCACCTTTTGAATTTTTCCCTCCTTTTTGCTATTATTCAAATGTCGTGTAATCGGATTGGATTCTCTTAAATATATCTGATTCTCCAAGTAATATATTACTTTGTTTCGATGTTTAAGTTCCTATGTGTATGGGTTTCATAATAGGAATGTCTATCTTTGTGAAATCGTTATGTTTTTATGTATGTTTTTATTTCTTTTTCCGCCGTGTTTGTGTTGGCTGTCTTTCATTGGTTTTTGTTGCTTTCAATTTTTTATTTTATAAATTAAAAGTTAATTGTTAACTCATTCATTACAAATAAGGTAAGTTCAATAATGTTTTGAAATGGAAGATTATGACCATGAAAGTGACAAATCAAGAAACTGCTGTCCGAACTATTCCAACCACTACGGTAGGTATCTACTGCTCTTGGGAATTACAAATTAACGAGCTAACGAGATTATGACGATATGTCGTGTAAGTGAAATATTGAGTTAAGTTAATAGTTATGTGACCTTCAAAACAGCAATTAATCGCCTGAATAAACAAAATTCCAATCATATTTTGATAGTTAACATCACACAGCAGAGGTTTGAAATAGTTCTTGGGTTTCCGTCTGTTTTGACTGGAATTAGTCAAACGACATAATAATTCGTTCAGACTTATATATACATTTAATGATTATTTAGAGATCGTGAGATGCGATCTAGTGTGACGTTTGATTGAATCTAAAATTTCTAGTATTGTATAAATTTTTTTTTTCACATCCTACATGTATGTTAAATTTAAACAATGTTTATAAATCCCAGGCCCTGAAGATGATCTCAATAAACATCGAAACGTTGACACGATAAAGAAAATGTTTGCCTAAAACTACATCACACCAGTCCGCATCTCACAATCTTTAAATAATCATTAATTAACGGTCACGAAACATCACAAACTTGTATATACAATGCAAGTAAATGATTATGAATAGGGACCAGAATTTTTATGGATTTACACATTTTTTCCAATCTTCCTGAACAATTTTTGAAACTTTTGTACCATGTGTCATGCAATATAAAAGTAATAAACTTAATTTAATTATATAATTTTGTAAATATGTGGAGGATTGTACATGTAATTACATATTTTACTTTCACTTAAATATTTTAGTATATATTTATGTACATAGAAAAATTATTTATTTATTTTTTAAATGACCAAAAACCGTACGAAGGTTAGGAAGAACTTTAAATTTAAAACAAAAATAATTTCTAAAAATGGCAGACCCCTTACCCCGTAGCCAGAAACAATTTTATACTTATATTAGGAATTAAATTATCCAGGAAAAGTCAACATAACACCGGCAAATTATGTAGTAATAGATTAAAATTTAATTTACTATTTATTCTATACCTAAATAATTTTACGGTGTATTGGTGAATTTTCGTTCAAATCCTCATAATTAAAATTGAATAATGTAATTGAATTATTTAATATTTTTTATTAAAAAATTCATGAATTTCTGAGCTCGTTTAATTACGTTAAAAAAGGATGTTGTATTTAATTTAACAAAATATTATAATCTGGTTATTTTTTGTTTTATGAGTATATTTATATGGCGAATTCATATTTACCGCGTGGAACCTAGCCCAGCATATAGAATTTTAATTGGTAATAATGTTTACCATTCATTTTTTAATTGGAAATAATAAATTCGTGCTAATTGGTTCAGACCCCTCATTCGCGTCACCCAGCGAGTATTTAGACGCTATTTATACATAAAATTCTAAAGTCAAATAGAAGTCCGAAGTACTTGTATCAAAATATTTACGTGAATTTTCTCATGAACCTTTTTGCAGAAATGAAAAAAAATGCTTTGTGATAGAAGTGGGAAAAATATATTAACCTTTTTTAGGTAAAACATCGTATTTTGACAACCTTGTATAAAAAGAAATAAGAAGTGAATCAAACCCTTATTTCATCACCGTAATCATCAGAACTCATTAAATTTACTGTTTACAAAAGGTTAAGCCAGCCCTTTTGTAAAAGCAAGTATAATATTATTTAAATAAAATAATAACGACCTGAAAGAGTTTTTAGAAATATAAATAAATTTAAACTATTCCAGACGAAAGCGCAAGAAAAAAAAATTTAGCTATCGTATTTATACTCTGAATCATTACAGTAAATTGGCGACAGTTTTTTCATTTTATTTAGTTATATTTTTTCAACGTTGTTCTAATAACATTTGTATATTAAACATGTCTTTACGCCGAATACACAACTAATTTTTTAATTGTACATATTTTTCTTTTTTACTGATATATTTGGTATAAAATAAATACATATATGTGTACATATTTTGTATTTTAAAGAAGGAACTCAACTAAATGAACAATAAACTGGGCAACATTGAAGATGACGATAAGCCGAATCGCGTCGGAAAGATAAACACATTGATCGTAATATAAGCACAGCACACATCTCGTGACAGAAGATTGAGTGATTTATTCATTTATACATTTGAGATGAAGAATGTTGAAATCTTGAGAAAAATAAATGAAAGACAAATTTGAATTTATTATGAATCATAATATCCAAGTTTTTAATAAACCGGGTTTTTTTTAGCAATTTTCTCGTTTTTTTTTTTTTTTTTTTTTTCTGATCGCCTTTTCTTTTTTATTAGACGCCAACTTTCAGTCGTTTACATTTACATAAATGACACGTTCGTACAAAATATGTGACAGTAAATAAACAAGTTCGAGTTTGTGTGATACAATGAAATTATGAGATAAAACAATAAATATTTGTATGTGATTTTTTAAATGATCTGTTATGTATTATATCACATATATTTGAAAAGTATTTCAGAAATTAGAAACAATTTTTATCGGCTATTTGCATAAAAAGTGCATAGATTTTGTAACTTAGATTTGCGATAATCCTACTCTCAGAGTTGTCCATGGTCTCAGTGTTTTAATAAATTTTTTATATTGAACCAAGTTGATTTTTTAATTTATAAAAAGAAAATTTTTGTTATACCTTTATTCCAAAGACATTTGCAGGTGTTTTCTTATTGATTTTCTTGCTGCATTTACTGTCATGCTACAATGCATATTCGTAATAGCACATTCTTACAAATTATGTGACAATCGACAACAGGTTGGAGTTTGTTGTTTTTGGTTGTTTTGGACTTCCCATCATACAAAAATGTTTTTCTATCCCGACTTCCTTCTCCA